TGGGCCAAATACCGAAACCCTCCCCCCCCTTAGTGATTTTCGTTCACTATGTTTTTCTGATAGCTTAGGTCCTTAGCTTTTATTTTCTGCTTGTTTGCCATTAAACTGGTGGTGGGTGTGTGTGCTACAGCCGTTGCCATGGTAACACACGGGTTAAAAATTGACATTTCTGAGCCCAACAAAATCTAAAATATTTCAAATACATAAACTAAGGCCACACTTTTTTAATTTTATGGATGACATCCTGCGCGCGCACGGATTTTTGCCCGTTCTCCAAAAAAAAAAAAAAATTTGATTTTTTTCAAGATGGCAGCAATATCAAAATTGCGGCCGGTTTAAGCTGATTTCTAAACCTGTTTCTACTGTAAGTAACTAACGTTGAAAATTTAATAAATTTAATGGGTTAAGTATTTTGATATCCATATGGTATTTAGTCTTTACTTACGGCTTACAGTGTTTGTTATTCCTATAATTATCATTTTAAGAACAAAAAAAAAAAAAAAAAAAAAAAACTTGAAAACCAAAATGACCCCAACAAATCCTGGGTGATTTACTTTGGTATATATTGCTGTCCTATTAAACTTCTAATATTGTTATTGTTCTCCGACATTGCCTTCCTTCTATCTGTATTTATTCTTTTATTCTTTTGTATTTGTTGTTACCTTTTGATGTATTGAATTTGAATAATATGAAGCCAAGATCGTGAACATTTGTAATAACTCAATATGGTCTACAAGTATTTAAATTATCGTGCGGTAGATGGCTGAAATTATTTGATCATCTCTTACCATCTATGGGGCAAGTTAAATGACACAAAATAGTCTGATTTTGAGTGAAAGGCAACTAGTTTGCAAATATAGATGGCGATTTTGCATTTCTATACAATTATTTTTTAAGTAAAATGTTATAAAAAACTTAATTATATATTCAGTTGAAGTTAGTGGATATATTGATTTTTCCAAAACATGGATATAATTTTACCTCTCTAGCAGTTTGAAGCTGAGTTATGGCATATACATGTAAATGTTTTATTCCATTTATTCATATAGATGAACACCATCTTAGATTGTAACAAAAACTCAGTTTCAGAGGTAACAGCAAATTTTAATTGGCTTTCCAGTGAACATTCTTCATGAAAAAAGACTACAGCCAAGACATTTCATCCATTTCCAAAAAGCCTTAATCCTAAATATCTAACTAAATATGGACAAGTGTTTCCGTGAAAGTAGGGTAGAAAGGGCATATTTGATTATAATTAACTGCACAAATTTTAGAATTATTTGTTTGTTGCACTGTTTAATATTATTGCAGCAAAATTCATACCTGCACTGCCATGGCCATTTGTGGCCATGGTGAATTTTGGAATAGCCAAGTAAATATAATTTGGCTGAAAATGAATAGAAATGATTTATATTTAGATAATATCCTAATAGGTTAGTTCAGTTTATCAGAAAGAGCAAAAGAGGCATTTTGAAACGAAAATGTAATATATATTCGGTCAGCACAGCAATATGTATGAACTCTGTTTTGTGATGGCCACCATGGGTTTTAGGTTTTATTACATTTAAAAAAGAGGATATAGGAGTAACAATCACTGTAAACAGTAATTATGCTATTCTGTTCATATCAGCATATCCAAAAACCTAACATTTTTCAATTCCAATGCTGCTTTCAAAGTTTACAAAAAGCTACTTTCAGTAATAAGAAGAAAATTAACCTAAATCTATCGTCATCTTGGATTGGCTGCCATTTTGGCAATTTAACTATGATAATTTTTTCAAATAATTTTGTTGATAACTGAGGTCCAAGTCTAATTTCTTTAAAAAGTTTACAATACAGCGAGTTCATATATTTGAAATACATGGCAATTTAAGGTCTCAGAAATTATAATTTTAAAACCCCTGTGTTACTATGGCAACAGCTAAATCTGTCACACCTTTCACCTATTACATGGCAAACAAGCAGAATATTTGAACTTAGGGCCCAAGCTATCAGAAAATCATAGTAAATAAAAATTGCTAATAGGGCTGAGCTAGCTTAAGTTTATTAAATTTTATTTTGTATTGGAATAATGTATTATATCATTTCATGTGTAAGCAAATTGGCGGCCATTTTGAATTTCGAAAGTCATAATGCAATCTGAATTAGCACAATTTATAGAAAAGGGTCCTAGGTCCATATTCAGTACACCTAAAAGTAATAAAGAATGTAATTTGGGATGATTAATGTGGCATCTTTCCAGTTAGGACAGCCGTATGTAAAAGACACCTTGGATTTCAGGATTTTACGTCAAAATTAAAAGGTTACATCTTCAACAAGCACTTCAGGCAAAGAGCAGAGGCTTTTTACCATTATGGAACATCAAAACACATGCCACATTGCAATTTCTTAATAATTAAATAAAAACTCAAATATAAAAAAATTCCCAAAATTATTAAAAAATGAGCAATAATTGGCAGCCATCTTGAATTTGCTGCCATCTTGGGACATTTTGATGATTGTGAAGTATATAATGTTTTGGCCAATTTTGATTAACTGTTACATAATGCTGCAAAAAAGGATCATATTTATGGCTCTCATATAATTTATTCGTTAACACCGAATAACGGCTAGAAAGTATATCTTATTTCCTAAGCAATATTACAGTTACCGTTTTGCTCTCTATACAGTCAGTCAGATTCTGGAAGGAAGAGGTTCTTATGAAGAACTGGATTTCAGCGAGAAAGATAGATACGTTATAATTACGGATATAGATGAAAGGTATATTATTCTTTATCTCATGCCTTTTCCACGAAGAACTCTGGTTTAGACTGTAAAACGATCGTTTAACTTTGAAATACACTGCTCAGAAGAAGTTAGGGAATAAAGTACTGTCAATTGTCATTATGCAAATGAGCATAAAAGGAAAGGGGGTTCAAAAAGAGACTACTCATTATCGTGTCTGCCTATGTCATAGCATGACATACCAAATATATCACTGAGTGAGCAAACTACCCAGTGAAATGCATTAGCGGGTCAAACCTACAACCTGGAAACAAAACCTGTTGACCTGCAAATATATCACTTGCTTCACAACCCCGTCTCCATCGAATAATTATGTCTGAAACGGCTGGTTTTTATTGCAACACAGTTAAAGTAGAAACGCCCCAAATAAAAAATAACAGCATGCATGGTTCAGATTTCTGCATCTTAAATGGTGGGTGTTCCTTAACTTCTTTTGAGCAGCATAAGATACATTATTCGAAGTTTGATCTTACATTTATGAACAGTTTTAATGATATTTTATTAAGATTTGTATTCATTATCATTATTCAGATATCATGGTTGAAATATATTTGATAAGTATGTTTTGGGAATATAGTCCAAACAAATTAATTTCAAATATGCATATTTTGTCCGGATTCGATGCACGGGCGTTTGTCATTTATTTATTATCGTTGACGAAAAAGCTTCTAATTTTCGCTAGTGACCTCCAAAAGATTCGCCAGCGTCCTGACCTTTTTGAGGAAATAGAACGAGATATCAAAATGTCGATGGATGGATATCATTCTGATGGGCCTCACACGACCAGTGAATATTTTTGGGTAAATGTCAATGTGTTTGCAAGTGACAGTTTCTATGCTTGTGTTTATAGATTCACTGAGAATAAAATTGGAGTCATTTGACTCTCTAGTCAGAGTCCAGCACCCCTTGACCCTCATGGGTTAATTTGACTCCTATATAAGGGTAAAATTACCTCACTACCAGTGATTTAGACTCTCTTATCAGAGTCAATCACCCCCTGGCTCTCATGGAGTCAATCTGACTCTAAAATCAGAGTCAAATTATCGGGGGCCAGTGTCTGATCCCTTTCACCGACTCTTTTCGCTCTCTGGACAGTAAGCTTCGTTTCATTACTTGTGATGACAGTGAGCAGACGGCGTGGAGAGAACAGTTTTCATCTTTCTTTGTCAGTAAAAACATTACTTTATTGGCCATAGTTGGTTTTATGCATGAACAAGTAGTTTTCTGCGTGTCTCTGCATGCAGAACTCGTGCACTTAATTATTACTGGCCTGGGCTTTCAGTTGCCACACCCTTTATGTGATATGTTGGTATACAGGTCAGCAGGTTTTGTTTCCAGGTTGTAGGTTTGACCCACCAATGCATGTCAGTGGAGAGGTATGCTCACTCATTGATATATATGTCATGCTGTTTATTACCAGATTTACAAACTGTTTGTAATTGCTGATAAACGCTATATGTGATCGCATGGTGTCCGCCTCTGGATCGGGAGGACGTGGGTTCGAACCCGTCCGGGGACACAACAATCTGAAATGAACGATATACTTGCTGTCTCTCCCCTTGACGCTGTTTTTGTTCATGATGTGCCAAGGAGTCAAAAATTCCTTAATATGGGGTCTTGGTGACTCTTTTGTAGAGATAAATCAAGGGATGAAGGGAAGTGTGAATGGAATCAATTGTGACCCTCCTGTGGGGTCTGGGGTGGCATATCTCCATCGGAGTCAACTTGACTCCAATTTGGAGTTATTTTAGGCAACACTGCTGGACTCCAAGTTTGGAGTCACTTGGACTCCGATTTTATTCTCAGTGTTTCCTTGATTTTTTTGGTCTCAGTATGCTACCAGCCTGCAACATTTTTCTCTCCATATTTCCTGAGTGCAAATGTCATTTTTATAAGGGTAAATGTGTGTCTTAATGAAAGATATAAGCAGCAAAACCTCAGGCCTCTGCCAAAAAAGCTTTTTGAAAAAATAACGTTTTTCTTAATTCAGCAATGAATGTACAAGGGAAAATTTCATAAGATGTTAACTTCAACAATTCTGGTGTATTAATCAAACTGCTTAAAAGAAGTTAAGGATCACTTAGAAAGGCAAACATTAAAAAAACGTTAACTGTTGAATAATTAAATATTATTAAATATAAGTAGATCTAATCTGTACATATACGTAGATCAAATCTGGATCCATTTAAAATTGTGATCACTTCTTTCCCTCTTAAATAATTCAAATTCTCATCAAAATTTGAGATCAGCCCACTTATGAACAAACAAACTGATAAACATACTCCTTCGTTTATGGATTAAAAATAAATTTTATAATAATTCGACTCTTTCTGATGCAGAATTTAGACAGAATATACAGAAAAGAAGGCGAATTCAGGACCTGTGCACCGGGCACTGAAATAGACGCATACATCATTGACTGTGGAATTCATCCTAATCACTCTGAATTCCTAGATGGTGAGGGGAAATCTAGAGTGAAGAAAGGTAAATAAGGCATAATTCAATAATAACCTATGATCTTATAACATGGTAAACAGACTACACAGATGAATTTTTATCAGAGTAACATAAGAGAGAGAGAGAGAGATAAGAGAATAATTAAAGGTACATACGAACCGAGCATCGGTGGAGCGTGGATTCCCAGTAACACATGTAAACCACTTCTACTAGATTCTTATATGACTCAAATAAATTCGACATGCCAAGGGATAAACTGAATAGATCACTCGATCAGCCATAAAAGACCTTTAGACTGCTCTTTTCTTTAAATTTTTGGTTGTACTTTCGTGACCTACTTTCCTGCCCCATTGACATACAGCTTAGAATGCCAGCAGAAAAATCCGTTCAAACATCATTTTCGGTTAAAATTAAACAATGCCTTTTGGTAATTCTCTTAGTTATGCTACTTGAAACTATATGCTGGCATTTGGTTGGTTTTTGTGACAAAAAATTGACTTTGTATGCATCTTTAATCACAAGACAAAATTCTGAAGGCAGGCGACTTTCATGAAAGTTCTGTGTTTTGTATTTCAGGGTGGCACTATAAGAATGATTCCAATAATGAAGTTGGCGGATGGCACGGCACCTTTGTGGCTAGTGTCTTAGGAGGTAAAATCTGTGGAGTAGCCAGGAATGTGAACCTCATTGACGTCACGGTGTGCATGAATGATACTGAATTTTGTTTGTCGACTATCGAAACTGCAGTGAATTGGATAACGAAACAGGTTCAAGGCAACGGTGTCCTGTCAGTAATTAATATGTCATTCGGAACTGAGTTTCCCCGGTCTTTCGTCATTGCCGTGAAAGCGGCATTGAATGCAGGCATTCCAGCCGTGGCCTCCGCTGGGAATCACAACGAGTCCGATCCGTACGATAACACTGATTCGTGTCGAAGATCCCCAGCAAATATAACCAGGGCCATTACAGTTGGCGCCACCAACAAAGCTGATTCCTTGTCTGCATTCAGTTTCTTAGGACCTTGCGTCGATATTTACGCTCCAGGGACGAATATTATAGGAGCCTATTACGAAGTCGACTCCAAGTATGGGATTGCTAATGGGACATCATTTGCAGCACCTCTCGTCGCCGGTGTAGTCGCAGGAATGCTGCAGGTGTTTCGCGATGCTAAGTACTACACAAAACCGTCGAAAGACGTTGTTAAGGACATTAACAAGTACATCATCAAGTATGCGGAGAAGAACGCAGTGAAGGGCCTCCCGAAGGGCAACAACAACTATATGCTTCAGACCACCGGTCTGTATACTGTTGCTAATGCTACGGCTTCTTAATGTCTTACTTGAAATACACTCTTGCTAAAAGTGATGGGATATTTCAACAGTACATAACATTTGTGTTTTAAATGTGTTCAAACTAAGTCGTAAGTGGTTCGTTGAAATGCATTTTCTACCTTAATATTACATTTGAGCTTGTTTTTTATCACTTTGGTTTTGTTCTACCGATCAATGATGAATTTGATAAATTATCCGTAATTAATAGGGAAGAGCAAATGTTGAAGGAAGCATGGATTGGAGAAGAATACCGGAATCATCCAAAGATAAAGAATTTCATCTCAGAGTTAGTATTACGTGTAGTACCAGACAGCATAATGTCTTCTATAACTCTAAGTTAACGGTCAAAGTTGGCAAAGGTTTTGTGTTAATTTTCACAGAGTACTTTGAAAGAAAATCACGTCCCTAATTTCCTTAATATTCCATCATTTTAGCAAGAGTGTTTGTGCGTTGCTTTGAATTTGCAGCAATTCCCAATGGAACTATACCAGCGGAACTGTGGATGGCAACAATGTCCACCACACTGACTCTTCAGAACTTTAAATTTTTCTTAGATCAATACAAGGTATAAAATGAGACAAGAAAGATACGTTTGGACTTTTGAATATACCTGTAGCGGACTTTGAAAACAAAATATTCCACAGTGGCATGGAAAATACAGTGCATTTAGGACGCTCTACAATTTTTAAGATGCAGGTGTGCTTAAATCTTTACATCAAGTAATTTAAAGACTGATATGAATGACTTAAAAGAATTTGCATGTGATCTATCATACTCGAATTTTCAAATTTTGTTAGCTAGCACCCTTTTTGAATGAACATGCCTTCACATGGACAACTAAAAGGCAGAAATGCTACTCACAGCAATTTTCCACCCGTGAAATCAAATATGAGTTGTATATTACAGATGCCCTCTTTTTGTCTTGTAACTCAGCTGCTAATAAATTCAAGCATGAACGCAAAGGTTTGCATGTTTATATTATTCTGTACCGACATATAATACATCATTGGTAAACCATGTAATTCAATTGAAAATAAAAAAAAATTTAATATTTCCAGATAATTTCATTTCATAAACTATCACAAAATATCGACATTCATGATTAAGATGCAGTTAATGAAAGAATAAAAAAAGACATTTATTTTGAACACGGGGCCAAGAAAAACACTATTTTAAACAGCATTCCAGGCAGTATGATTTGATTGGTTCGCGACACATTTATCTGTATGTTTGCGCGGATAGTGGTTCGAGGCGTGGAGGGAATTATGATAAGAAAATGAGTAAATAAATATGCTGTAGAAGCATGCATCTTGACCCGTCGTAGCGGGGAGATAAAATAAATAAATAAACTAATAAATTTATTAATTAATAAATAATTGTGCAATAAAAGCATGCCCATCAACCCGTCGTAGTGGGGATAATGAGATAAAATGTGGTATAGAGCCTTGCCCACCAACCCGTCGTAACGGGAATAGTAAATTATAAATGAACATGCAATAAAATCATGTCCATCAACTGTCTAAGCTGGTATGTATAATATAGCGAAAAAAGTATTACCCATCAACCAGTCGTCGTGGGATACTAAAATACACTCTTGCCCAAAATGGTTGGTACACGGAAACTTTGGGATGCATATCGCCCTGTTTCTTTCATTATTATTGATATTATCAAATTAATACTGTTTATATTGTTAAATATGTGAAGCTGGAGGATTGGTTACGTCAAGGAGCAACAACCAATGCAAATGTGAAAAAAGCGTTAATTTATTTAGGGTTTTTTCTTCTCATGCCTCCAAAAAGAGTCCCTTTTTTACATAACAGTACCAAGTGAAAATTAATCATTAATTTATACTGTGATTGACAATTAATATGAAATTAGGGGAAATTGTCAAGAAACATCTTCAGAGTTCATTATTAATCTAAATAGCGGGTATGCCCACCCCGAGCTTGAATAATGGCCGCCAGACGGCGTGGCATACTGTGAACTAGAACTACAGCTCTTTGGAGAGGAATTCTGGTCCATTCATCTTGAAGAGCATCTCGCAGTTCATCTAAATAATAAAATAATAAATTAACGCTTTTTTCACATTTGCATTGGTTGTTTCTCCTTGACTTTTATCAATCCTCCAGCTTCATATATTTAACAATATAAACAGTATTAATTTGATAATATCAATAATAATGAAAGAATCAGGGCGATATTCATCCCAAAATTTCCGTGTACCAACCATTTTGGGCAAGAGTGTATACATAAATTTTCAGTAAATGTATGCCTACTGACCTGTCGTAACAGGGAGAATAAATAAATAAATAAATAAATAAATAAATAAATAAATAAATAAATGTGCAATAAAAACATGCCCATCAATCCGTCGACGTGGGATAATAAATGTGAGTAAAGTTACAGTAAAAGTATGCCAACTCACCCGTCGTAGCAGGGAAAATAATAATAGAAAGTTCATATTATAAACAAATTAGCATGTCATAAAAGCATGCCCATCGGCCTGTCGTGGTCATGAAAAAAGTCTGTAAATCTATGAATCCGGTCAAAGTCATTACGTAGATTCATCCGTATAACTACAGTAGAAATTGCGTGGGGTAGAGAACGTCGGGTGTTTTGCAAACTCGGTATGAAAGAATGTATTTACAACATGATTTAGAAAAAATCCCAAGACCAACTCCTACAAATATTAAAAGTAGTAGACCCACACCTGCACCTAGAAGTAGTGAAAAGAAAAGTTTGGAAACCCCTGTGAAAAAACCAATTCTGAAACTAGAAGAGAGTGAAAGTGACAGTGAAAGCGAAAGTGAATCTGAATGTGAACAGAAGAAAAGAGTTCCTTTAGTTGAAAGAGAAAAAGGACCTGTTCATAAAATGCCTGGTTTTAGTGGGAATGGAAAAGAAAATTGGGAAGGTTTTGTATTTTAGTTTGAAGGCATGGCAGAAAGATATGGATGGAATGATAAAATAAAAAGTAGCAGATTGATTGAATGTTTGGAAGACAGAGCTCTTGAGTATGCGGTAGAGTTTGGAAACTGCAAATATAAACGTTTGAAAGAAGTGATGTCAAAACGTTTTAGTATGAAAGAGTCTGCTTCATCTGCACGCAGAGCACTTCAATCAATGAAGCAGGTGAAAGTGAATCTTTGCAAGATTTTTCTCATCGTGTGTTCATGGCATCTAGAGAGGGATATGCAGAAGGTGGTGAAGGAATAGCTGTGGATTCATTTTTAAGAGGGTGTCGTGACAACGAATCTGCAAAGTTGGCTATGGATAAAGAGCCTAAATACTTATTTGAAGCATTAGAGTTTGTGAAAGTTGCAAACAGTAACTTCAAAGCAGTGTATGGTACAGGTGGAAAAAATGTGCATATTAGACAAGTTGGAATGTCTGATCAGTGTTGAGAATGGAAGTAATAGTCAATTACTCTACAACATGCAAAGAACCATGTCAGCAATGTGTGATCAGATGAAAAGAATGAATGATGCATGGGTGTCACCGTCAAATTCTCAGAGAAATCCTAGTAAAATGGTAAAGTCACCCCAGAATGGAAACATAAATCAAAGTAGAGGGGGTCCACCACAATGTTTTAAATGTGGAGAAAGAGGTCATGTTCAAAGGGATTGTAAGAATGAAAATGTAGAACATCCACCTAATGCCAATGTTAGTAAAAATGCCAGTCCAAGTTCTATTTTGATTTGTCATAAATGTGGACAGAGAGGTCACATTCAAACAAATTGCCCTCAAAATAGAGAATTACCAAAGAATCCTCCTCCCGGTGCAAGAAATTCGGTAACTAGAACGGGACGAATTGACCGACCGGATTTCGGATCCCTTACATGTACTTCATGTTGAAGGTCGGATTATGGATAGTGGAAATTTGAAAATGATGAATGTTGGAGAATAAGTGGGAGAAAATTTTGTGATTCCTGTTAGTGTAAGTGGTGTGAAAACATTAGCAGTTGTGGATACGGCAGCTCAATTTACTATCGTAAATAAAATATTTTATAGTAAATTGCAGGGTGTGCCTGAGTTTTGTGAGACTCTGAAATTAATGCTTGCTGGAAAAAAATGCATTTATGATGGGTCATAGAGTAGAAAATTTGAGTATTGAGATTGATGGAATAGAATATAAGGAAAATGTGTATGTTGCAGATTTGCAAGAAGGAATTGATATGTTGTTGGGATTGAAGTTTTTGAAGGAGAGAAATTGTGTGGTGAATTTAGTTGATCATACTTTGATCATTGGAGAAAAATGTGTACAGGGAAGCATAGAAGTTGAAGGTGACTCTGGTTTGAGTAAAGTGAATGGTGAGACAGAAGCTAAAAATGATGAGAAATGTGTTGATGAATTAGAGAAAGAATTTGAAATTTGTGAAAATATGGTGAGAACGAAAAAGAGAATAGTAGTTCCTCCATTGACGGTGATGAGAATTTCTGTTTGTGCAGATTATGAGTTAGAGAAAAAGAAAGAGTATGTAATTTAACCTTGTGTTGATAGACAAGTGTTGGTATCTTGTACGTTAGTTAAAGGTGATGATGTTGTTCCTATAGAGATAGTGAATGATGGAGAAAGAAATGCTGTTTTGAAAGCAGGTAGTGTGTTAGGTGTTATTAAAGAAGTTGAAAATGTTGATTCGGAAGTGAGATGTAAAAAAGATTTAGATGGAAAAGCTAGGGTGTCTGCTTGTAGTGTTCACAAATATAACGTGTAGTGTTCACAAATATAATTCCCAGACATGTAAATTAATTTGATTAGAGTCGATTGCTTGTGCACTCGACTCGTTTTATGGCCTTACCTGAAGTCATGTAACTTAAGTGGACGTGTGCAATTTGAATAATTAAAATTAGTATGTACTGCCAAATACTGCAGCACAGAATCCACCTAAAGATAAGAAATAGGTATAAAAGACGTATAGAATTAATATCGGGGGGCAGACTGAAGAAGACACGAAGTGGACTGCTCGTCGAAGCTATGGGAGACGGCTTAGACGTTGGAG